GTTGTTTGTTTTGTTTTGTTTTTAGAGACAGAGTCTTTGTTGCCCTTGGTAGAGTGCTGTGGCATCACAACTCACAGAAACCTCCAGCTCTTGGGCTTAGGTGATTCTCTTGCCTCAGCCTCCCGAGTAGCTGGGACTACAGGTGCCCGCCACAATGCCTGGCTGTTTTTTGTTACAGTTTGGCCAGGCTGGGTTTGAACCTGCCAACCTTGGTATATGGGGCAGGCGCCCTACTTCCTGAGCCACAGGCACCGCCCCTATTTTTGCTTGTTTTTTCTGGGATTTTGTACATTGAGAATTTGAGCAGAGTTTGGTGGTGATCTTACGCTTTTGGTAGACATTGTCTGAGGTCACTTGTTGGCTTTCAGCTAGTCAATGGATGTCTAGATGGCCCAGATGGCTTCATTCATGTGTTGGTTGACTTTGCAGGTTTGGCAGGAAGGCAGAGATTAGCTAGAACTGGAGACTGGAGTGCCTGCCCAGGCCCTCTCCAGCAGGAAGTTCTCAGTATTCCTAAGCTTCTAAAATGGAGAATCACAGCTCTTAAAAATAATATTCCCAAAAGTCATGAAGCAAAGGCTACCTATTTCTCATGTTCTGGGTCCAGAAACTTTTCTTTTATTGGGCAGAAAAATCATAACCTCACCCAAATTCAAGTAGATGGGATATAGGATTCAACTTTTTAATGGGAAAGTATCACAATTTTCGTAGTTACATGTAATCTGCCTTATTTCCTATTTTCTGTTTCCCTTCCAATTTTACTCTTTATTTTTCTACTTTGAGCCTGATAAGTGAATCCTGTTTATAGTAATTGATATAATCCATTCATTCATTCATTAATGTTCTTTTTTCAACCATTACATGGTTAAGTATTACTAGGGGCAACGATTAGGAAGCAGCACAAAAACCCAATTTTCAAAATATGAACTCTGTTGCCTGGCTTTGAATCCCACCTGCACCAGTTATTAATTTTAGTATCTTGAGCAACTTATTTGAGCTTCAATTCCTCTTTCGTAAAATAAAGATTATATGGCTATATTATGTGGACATTGCAAGCACCAAGTGACACAATATATATGAAATACTAAGCATAGTATCTTACTCTCAAAAGCAGTCTAGTAAAATAGAATAGTAGCTATGATTAGTAGCTATCATTAATAGTTACTGTGTGAACCTGAATTAGCCACTTAATACCTCTGGACCTCTTTAATATGTAGCTTATTAGGCTATGTAATTAAGAAACTGGAATATTTTTTGTTTGGTTGTTTTGGGGGTTTTGGGGGGGGTTTTTTTTTTTTTTTTTTTTTTTTTTTTTTTTTTTTTCTTTTTTTTGCTATAGTTGTGGTTTTTGTAGTGAAAGGGTACAGAACAAAATCAGCAAAATGAAAAGACACATGAAAAGAAGTTCAAGAGAAACCAGGGATAAGCTTCCAGGCATATCTTCTTGGTGAAGTAACATAAGAGACACATTATTACGATAAACTTCATTGGTCATACTGGCACAGCATGGCCTAATGTCTTAGGATTACAAAAATATTCTTTTTTTTTTTTTTT